CTCTCCCATCAGTCACCTTATGACCCCGAAAGTTCACCTTGTGACCTTTCAACGGGCCGGCACAACATTCTTATTATTATTATCTACTGATGTTATAAAGAATAGCTCAGTGTTGGTCAGAATATCTCGTTTGCTTTCTAAGTTTTTTTTCAACCTGATCGACCAAACGACGGATTTAATCCGACCTCACGCGCTTTCAAAAACAATAAAAGCTTCGTTCTCGTCGCCAACATCCTCCGGCTCCCCTCAGGCTCTCGGCCCACATCGGCGTCACAGCTCCTGCCTCCAAACTTTCCACTGAAGGCAGTTCCTGGAACTGCTGGTAGCTGCAGAACCGGGCCTTTAATTTACTGACGGCTCAACTGTAGACTCATTGAACAAGTGCAGCAGACTCAGACAAGTTAAAGCTCACGTTAAAAGGTGATTTTAATCAACAGATGAGCTGCAAAATGCACCAACATTGACATTTTTAACTTGCAATGTCGGTGAATGATGCTGGAAATTCAAAAACAATCAAAACCTGCAGCACATCTGGATCCTAAACGTTGGCGTTTTCCTTTCAGTGCAGATTAAGAGTAGAATTATAGGAAATTATGACATTTTATTCTGACATTAGCTGCATTTCATAGCAATGGAGAGGCGTTAAAGTTCTGCATTAGGATTTTTTAAATACTTTTAGCTGCAGCAGAGAAAATATTTTGTACTTTCATTAAAGTAAAAGTACTCATTACACAAGAACATTACACATTAGCAGCCATTCCAGTTGTCAGATCCACTCATCACCTGTTTGTCCTTTAACTACTGTCATTAAAACCTACAGTAAAAAGTGCAGAAGTCTCCTCTGACATGAAGCAGCTTGATGCAAATACTTAAAGAAAGTCATAAAACACACATTAGCTGTCAGCTGCAGAGCTGCATGTAAACAGAGCGTCAGCACTTCTCTGTAAAATGTAGAAACTAAATACGTTCACCTGAACATGTCGGGTATGTTTAGATTTACTCGAGTGTTTCTGCTTTCTAATAACTCCACCTGGGCTGCATTAGAAGAGGATGTATTGCACTTTTTACTCCATTCATGTGGCAGTGTTAGTTATCACAGATAGTTGGACACAAAGACCTCCTCATGAAACGAGCATTTTAACTGATAACATATAAAAATGGCAGCAGCATTAAAATAATGCAGCTAAATAAAAGAAGCAGGACAATAACTGAGAGATAAAGTCATCTAATTAAAATAGGTTAAATGAAAATAAACAGTTAAAGAAATAAAAATCCTGACCTGTAGCTCCACTGAAGCTGCTGAATGAAGGTTTTTTAAATATTTGCTTAAATGTTAGTTTCAGTGCATCTCATTGGTTCTCCTTTAACCGTGACTCAGGCCTGATCCTCTCTCTGGCTTCACACCGACAACATTCTCCAAACAAACACGTAAACCTGACGTTAATCTGTCAAACATTTAAAATCAAAAAGAAAAAGTCAGACTTTACCGAGCAGTGAGAGCAGCGCTGAGGGTTTGCAGCTCCGCATGTTGGAGACTCGGTGAGAGGACGAGTCGCTGCAGATTCCAACCAGCGAAAAAAAAAAAGAAAAAGAAAAAAACTCTTCCTCCTGAAAGCCTGTGAGGGAGAAGCAGAAGCGTCTCCTGGCAGAGCTGAGTCCTGCGGTCTGGGTGTGGTGACACAATCCTGTAATTTACACTATTTCACACTTCAGAAGGTCCAAATAGAAGGACAGAGCCGGGCTAGTTCTTTTATTTTAAATTAATAACAGGCTTCTTCAGGTGGAAATGCAATGTGCAGCCATGATGTGTGATGCTAGATAAACAGTGGTGGCAGAAGCATCCAGACAGTGATTTAGTTATCAGCAAAATGTTATATAACAATTTAAAAAAACACTCTATTGCAAATAAGTCATTAGTTCTGCATCCTTGTCAAGTTAAAACTCAAACTATCATCAGCAAAAGTGCAAGAAAACATGCATTTGTTTGATTATATATTAAGGATTAATGTCACTGATGTAAAATCAACTTGCAAAAAAGCAGATTGCAAAGTTTAAAATGAAATATGTTGGAGCAGAAGGCTATGAAGAAGCATTAATGGGGGAAAAAGTGAAAGTGTGCATGTGGACGTCTACTTTTAGATGCATACTCGACTTCCTTCTTTCCTTTTTAAGCATCATCCCTCCAAGACCAGAACCGTCGGAGCACGTTTGGCTCTTTTGCATATCACCTTGTTGTTTAATTAGATGGGTTTTTTTTAGGCTTAACAGGTGGCTCTTTTACAATTTGTCCTCGGATGAACTCGCATTAAACCTTCAAAAGGATTAACAAGTGCAAATCAAGCAGGCATTAATGTGACATCAAATTAAGAGTCTCCTGTCAGAAGAAAAGCGCTCGTTGAGCCTCCTAATTAGCCGGTTAATTACTGATGTGAGTGTGTGTGTGTGAGTGTGTGCACAGAAATTCAAGCAACACAGATGTCCTTGTTTTTTTTTACAAATTTATTACAAAACTTTAAATAAATCGAAAACTAAAATAATTTATAATAAATATTCGGATGTCTTGTCTCGTCATCCAGATTCTCCTCCAATCACAGTGTGTCTGTTGAAATGGCTTGTTTTGTTTTTTAATGCACATTGGGTGCTACTTGGTTAGCAGATCATTTATCTGGGCTATAAATTACACAAAATGACAAAAAAAATGGTACGATTTCAAGCGATGATGCCGGAAACGCAGGATGAAGTTGCAGAAGTCACACAGAGATCTCAGATGGTGCAGATTTTATTAGCGGCGCTGATTTCATACACCTGAAAGGAAGGAAGGGGAAAACATCAGGATTATTCTCACCTCACAAATGCAAACTTATATAACTTACTATACATACAGCATGCAGCTCTTTTATCTCATTAAAAGTGTTGATCTCATATATTTCCTCCTAATCCCTAAATGCACCTGTAGGGTCAGACAGCACCAAGAAACCCTGAAGACTCTCACCTCTTTCGGACACAGCAGTAAAGTAAGACGCCCAGGAGAACGACGAGCATGATCACCCCGAAGCTGATGCCGATCAGTTGCTCCAACTCGGGCAGAGTGCGCATCGGCTCGGTGAAGAACATGCAGCGCTGGCCGCTGTAGGAGGACGTGCAGCTGCAGACGAGAGTTCAAAAAAACATGTGAGCGCATTCCAGAGGAGGACACGAACCAACACGTTTGGAGAGTTTTCTTTTTTTTCTTAACCAGCATAATGAGGGCACACTGCAGAAGTATGTGTGTGGTAACATTAATGCTTACATGCAGGAGGGTTTCTTGCTGTCTTGGGGGAAAATGCACGTGCCGCCGTTTCCACAGAAGCTTTCGTAGCCGTCGCCGCATGGTGTGTGCAGATGCAGGACTCGAGGTTCCTCCATGGTGCCTGCAGACAGAGAGAGAGGAGCATTGATGAGATGAATCAATCAGTGGAAAACAAAAACAGCTCTACTTGTTTTAGTTGTGGCAGGAGGTGGACCCATCCTGCTTGTGATGAATTAAGTAACCCACAGACATCAGCATCCCCCCACTCAGACGTCTACAGAGAACCTCTCAATCTCAACTCTTTTGCACACAAGTGAGGAAACGTATGAGGATATTTTTAGGATGTTATGAAACAAAGTGAAGACGCTTACTGTTGCTGAGCTGCGTGGTCAGAGGTGAATCTGATGGAGGAGGAGTTGTTGTGGTCTGGAGGCTGTTAGTCAGCACCGCACACTGTCCTGCTGTGGTCAGAAGAAGCATCACGGCCAGAAGACCTGAAACACATGGAGGGGAAACATGAATGTACAATATTAATAATGCACCAATAAAAAGAGTTGCATTGCTAAAATCAAGAACTCTGATACTAACAGTCGAGCTAGAAAACTTGCTCCATAAACTCACCTCTCTCCAGGTACGTCTGTCTCTGTGTAAACATCTTGTGTTCAGTTTCTTCTGCCTGTGCGGTGTGACCGACAACACACTCCTGCTGCTCTTATATACGCTGCAGTCAAGCCCTGATGAGCTTATCAGAGCCAATCAATGAACAGGTTTGGGTGTTTTTTTCCTAAAAATGAGAAGCATTTCCTCCCGAAAAAATCCACCTGCATCATTTCCTTTATTTGTACCGACTCTGCATGCAGAGACAAGGTCTGACGTGGGAGGTGGGGGGGGATACGTGATTCCCCAGAGGCTCTTTGGACGAGGCTTCTTCCTTGTAAGCGGCTCTGCAGGGCCCTCGGCTGTTTGAGAGTTTTACTCCAGTACGTACGCTGCAGTTTTAGGAGGTTGCTTCATCTGATTACAAGTTGTGAAACCCACAGTTTCTACAGAGAGCTGATTACAAGGGGAAGACTTGAGCGGCTTCCACTTACTTGGAATAATGTGCAACAGGTGAAGAGAGGACACGTATGGAAGGAAGACAGGTGGCTGACGCTCTACAGATGGTCAGCACTCTTACATCTGTAGTCTTAATAAATCATTTTAATGCTTCATGTGTGGGACATTCGCCTTGTTCAGCCGTCTACTCTGTGACATTTCCTCCAAACTGGCTGCTCCGTGCACGAGGCCCAGTTCAGACTTTTAGACTTGTGCTGCGGTGCTACATCCTTTGCTTCCTTGCACAACAACATGCATGCGAGCACACGCTCCCGGTGGATCATGTCGTAAACTGGATGCTGTATTTCTGCCGGTCGCAGTAATGAAAGATAAAGTCGTTCACCCCACGTGAACTCCGCCGCTGTTAAAGCGTATCATTGAAACCAGACTTCCTGCCGTCGTTTTGCTGCGACCTGAAGCAACACGTCCTCACCGCTGCAGCCCGCCGTCGTGTTGGACGCACTGCCGGTTCTGATCTGGATTCTCACCAGTTCTAGAAAAGTGTGCATGCCTGAGATCTATATGATGAGCCAGAGCGAATCTGTGCAACACAAAACCAGTCTGGATCAAATTCAGTCACACTTTGTGCAGATTTACTAAACTAATAACAAACCAGTGGCTGCTGTGGACATCCAGCCGGTACTGAAGGCCCAGTGAGGTTGTTGTTGGCTGGTTGGTTTCTCTTGAGTTTTATCACTCTGACATTTGCTAATTAGGACTGAACACAAAGCAAGCTAGCTTCGCAGGTGAAGAAGCACAAATGAAAGATAGACTAGTCTGTGGATACAAGCGGCTTAAATGAGTTTCCTCCGCAGAGATAGGGTGAGAAGCTCTGACATCCGGAGGAAGCTCGGGGTAGAGCTGCTGCTCCTTTGCGTCGAAAGGAGGTGGTTTGGACATCTGATGCCTCCAGAGATGATTCCTCTGGAGGTCTTCCGAACACGTCCACCTGGGAGGAGACCCCGGGCCAGACCCAGAACCCGCTGGAGGGATTGTATCTCTCAGCTGGCCTGGGAACACCTCGGGATCCCCCAGGCAGAGCTGGAAAGCGTCGCTGGGGGGAGGGAAGTCTGGAATGACCGCTCCGCCTGCTGCCCCCGCGACCCGACCCCGGATAAGCAGAAGATAATGAATGGATGGATGGACGGATGGGTGGACGGACGGATGGATGGATGGATGCGCTGTGGGTTTCACCAAAGTCATCGGATTTCTGTCGCACATTTTATGGCACCGTCGAGACATTTCTGGACCAACCGCTGTCGTTTCTACAGCCACAATGTTAATGGAATTAATTCTTCATCTCGTCAAACTGTCTTGATGTGTGAAATATTTCTGTTATTATCCCATCTTCCAAATAATTATGATGGTTAAAGTTTTTATGTCAACATATGACACAACCTGAGGGGAAATGATCTCCGTTTATGTTTTGGTTTCAGCATTTCCTTCTAAATTTCATGTGTTCACAGATCTGGGATAAGAAAAGTGTCACAATACTCATGCTTCGGTTTTCACTGGTGACTTTGGCTGCATGTTTATACTCCTCCCAATATGGTGTCAACACGCCGCCAAACGTCAAAAGACCTGGATCCAAAAATCAGAAGTAAAAGTCAAAACAGCACTTTTTGTTTTTATTTTTTATTTCCTTTCGTTATTATCGTTAACTTTCCAGCGAACCTGGAATGCTCAAAATGAACCGAACCGACTTCAGTAGAAAAAATAGTAATCTAAATTCTTAAAAAGTGAAATCTGAAATAAATAACTTAAATAAATAAACGATATAAACACGTATCAAGTAGGTTGGTTCCAGCACGTGTGGAGGCTCGAGCTCGTGGATGCTTAAAGAAAAGATGTTTGGCAAAGGGTCCGTGTTCGTAGCTAAACAAACGTATGTGTTTTTTTACTGTACAGCATTCATCTGAGCGGACGGCTCTGTACGGCTCCTGTGTTTAATGCATCAGCGCGTTTCTGGCAGCAGTCACAGTGTTCTTCATCAGCATGGCCACCGTCATCGGACCCACACCTCCGGGAACGGGTGTGATGAAACCCGCCTTCTCCTTCACTCCTGAAACGAGTCAAACAGTCGACAGGGGGGATGAGTAAAGTTCACAAAGAGTCACGGCGAGCATTGACACGTAGTCCAGAGTGTTGTTTCTGTGGAATAGCATCATGTGCAAGATGTTGGAACTCCAATCTAACAGCTGTCAATTAAAAAAAACAAACATTGAAGCTTAAATTTGTCTTTCCAACCAACTTCCAGTTGAGGTTTTGATTATTTACCCTCAAAGTCCACGTCACCGATGAGCCGCAGCTTCCCCGTGTTTGGGTCCTGGATCCGGTTGATGCCCACGTCGATCACTGCTGCGCCCTCTTTGATCATATCTGCTGTGATCAGCTTGGGGACACCTGCACACAGAAACCACGGTGACGAAGGTTTTCACTGAACAACAAAAATAAAAATGACCTGTAAATATGTTGCATCCGTTTATGTGCCCACAGTTTTGCAGACAGTTGATTGAACACGTTATCGTCATTTCACTTCTTCTTTTGTGCAAAATACCAGCTGCAATAATCTTGATGTTAAACCCAGATACAGACTGAGGGCCT